CGACACCTGCACTGCAATTAGGGATCGCCTCAATGTATCTTTTTTGGAGGGTGGTGTCATATATCCCTGAAACCAACTGCTGATTTTCACTCAATCTCCCTCGATTATATCTTCTTTTTATCAACAACATATCATCCACGTGAACAGTGAAGCCAACCCCGCCAATTACTTGAGTCACACTGCTCATTTTCTATGATGTTATGCCTCTGCAGTACTGGTACCGTTGCGCTGCAGACAATTCCGAATTTTCTGATCCGTAAGCTGTTACTGGTACTGGTCTTTTAAGCATCCAGTTATGAATCATCATTAAAATTTTCGCTAGAGGTAATTTAGACTTGGCAAAAATGTATCTACGGAATCTGCAAACTAAAAGAGAACGACATACCTCCTCGAACTGATTTTCTGGCACCAGTAAATAAACCCATCAATGCACCTAATGTATCCTACTATATGCATGACACCTCCACATTGACAATTCTTCCACCTTCCTATCAGTTCTCTCTCCAAACAGAAACCAAAAACAGGCAAAGTTAAACTTTCGACACCAATAACAATCAATCAGCAAACGACCTTGAACGGACCAATCACATGAAATAGACGTTTATGATAAGCGGAAACGTATATTTATGGAGAAATGCATAAAAAATTATAAAACGGTTACAATGGGTTTCTTTCCCGAACATGGGGAGAAACATTTCCCAATTCATCATGGCACTGTCAATAGAGAAGTCGCACCACATTCTACACGTATCTTCATCTAAATGACTATAAATGAGATCCTTTTAAGATCCATTTATAGCCCTTATTCTATCTTTCAATCGACCCCAAAATCCTTCGGTGGAATTTGTTTAAGTACCTGTAACTGGATCCACGAAATCACTGGAGTGGTTCACTCTGTGATGAATGTATCCCAGGGATGACAATGAATCATAGCCTTTCCACTCGTCGGTATGTACAATTGATCCCGGTTTCACAAGGCGCTTCATAATAGGTACTAGAGTAGTCGCCTTCCTGTCTGCTATTCCTTCAACAAATCCTTTTCGGAAGGACGTGTCGTATAAACCTATGACCCAAATGTTGTTCGCTCTCTGACGACGGCTGTTATATTTCCTCTTCACCAACACTGTCTCATCCACATAAACTACTACTTCGTCCCTGTCTAACATCGAAGTAATTCTGTCCTTTTTCCATGAGGCGATGTCCCTGCAGTGCTGGTACACCAGTGGTATAACAGTGAACTGTTGATACGAGGCTGTTCTCCGTCTCGGCAGCAGAGGCTCTCACGGGTTGTTTCAGTACCCCGTAACTGCAAATGTACAAAATCTGGGTTGGGGAGAGATGCGACCTAGCAAAAAAATTTCCTACGAAATATTACCCTCAAATACTAACTCGCTTCCAACATATTCCACAACGATGAACAAAACCGTCAGTTGACCTAGTATAGCTTTTAAGAGTCATTACGCCGCCACAAGAACAACTTCTCTCCTTTCGAAGCAAGCCTAAGTCCAGGCAATACTGAAAGACACTATCCTCCTCGAATTGCAAACGTAACCTTGTAGGGGAACGCACTGAAATGAATCAAGCGCTATACAATATTGAACTACGTTCGTGAATCTCATTGGATAATTCGATGTTGTTCGCTGATTGGTAGTTACTGGTGTCTAAAGTTTAACTTGGCCCAAAAACAATATCCAGAGCGAATATGCTACGCTAAAGGTGTACAGCATCCATAAGTACGTCCGGATAATAAGAAGTCACCCGATCGGTTGCTCAAGGTCATTTATGCGCCCGCTAGGTAGTTTCGGTTTTGGCTGCTATGGTTTAGAGTCACTATTATAAGTTCACTAAATGCATGAGTTACAATCAAATTCCAATAATAATTATTTTTATTGGAAGGCCATGGTGAACATTTCCAAACAGGCCATTATTATTAGTTCATACATACAATATAAAATTAGCATAACATGACTAGTTAGTTAGTGTGCCAACATAAGAATAGTTTCTACACAGAATATATATACATACATATTTATTCACAAATCACTCCTCGAGGACTCCACTTGTTTTCTTGTGTGCTGCTGTCGTTTGTCTTCCTTTTCTCTCACCATTTAAGCTTCTACATGGCATTTTGCACTAGAAGAAAGAATTTAGATATTCGGCCACTTACAATGACAGATGATCTGCAAATATTATTGGTCCCATATGATACAACTGCCTCGTGAATTACCCATTAACTTCCTCCGTGACACCTCTATACCAAAAAAACATACGAGTAACTATCTGTTCGATGCCAATAAATCTGGTTATTCAAGAAATCATGAATACATGCAGGTGGCTGCATTTTAAATTTCACTGACTAGCGTGATGATAATTTCCAGCTCCTACGCGCTCCAGTTGCCATTTTATACTGATCAGTTCGCCATTACTCTGGTTCCTGGCCGCATATTAGGCCTATTCACACTTAGTTACCGTCGGCTTATGGGGGATTTAATTACTGCCTACTGCCTCAGAATCAATAGCCGAGCACAAAGAAATCAAATTGGTTTATACTAGCTCGTAAAAACGACATTTGATATTGGATATAAACTAAAATTACTACTTGCTGTAACAATACTTCTTTGTCTGTTTAACTGGATATTTACTGCTGTGTTTTCCAGGAAGTTCTTCTCGTTGTGAAATACATTTTAATCACGTGGTGGCATAGTACTTACCCAAATGTATGCGGTTCACTGCTTGACCATGAATACCAGCATGAAACGGAACGAAGCTTGGGTTGTCGCTGAACTTTGGTGTTGATGTGTTTCGAATTTAACACTTACATGCACTGTTCTGAGTGCTTGTACCATTATCGAACAACTAAGGTTTTCAAAACGTACTAGTTTATGCTATTTCACGGTTGCAATTTATAAATTGATGATCGTGCCTGTCAAAATGGGATGCACTTGTTGTAAACAGCCGTTTATACGAAATGTATATTATTACTGCTAGTATTATTTATCTGATCAGTTTTGGAAACGCTAGTCCAAGGAATATGCAACCTTGTTAGAACAGTAACACAATTGGATGTACACAAGTAGGAGCATACAGGTCGATGTATATGACTTTACTTAAAGTATCCAGTAGTTACTCCGGCTAGTGCAACTGGTGCTCTCTAGTAGAGAAGGCGGGTGTTGGTGAAAACTGCTCGGAGAGTGTTGATAAGGGATGTGAAGAAAGCCAGTAACTCGGGAGACACATAATAATTTTCAGGGAGTAAAGAAAGCGGTATGCTACGGTAAATGTAAACAAATCTTAATGATGACAAAAAGTTTTACCAGAATATTTGACTCCATTCCTACACCTCTGGATGCATAAAGCATGTTTATATGTCTCATTGTGTACATCAAAGCGAACGGCGTGTGATTAATCCGTTATCATATAATCCTCCAGAACTTAATAGGTTGCAGTTAGGTACTGGAAGGTTAGCTAGAGTTAATTCGTCACATTTTGACGTCCATGCTTATAAAAGTTCGTGCTTAAGGCCCACGTTCATATTAAATTACAATGTTTATGATCCAGGATTTCAGCGAAGAGGTTAGTAGTTGGACGTAATCAAACGTGTAGGAGAAATTAGGTTTGTTATAGCGATCCTCATACTATGCACGAGGCTCCCACAACTAGTTTCACTTTCTCTTCTTCACATCACAGAATATCTTTGTAAGTCAGAATTCGTTAAAAATTGAAAAGAGTTATTGACTTTTGTATTGAAAGTGAAGCACTATATAGCATGTTGTGAAATCGTTCACTTCCGTCCCTTTTCGCATTGCAGGGCAACGCCAAAGCAGGTGCGAAAAACACCTGTTCGCCGGCCAGAGCCGGATAAATTCCTGTCTCGCCGATGCGCTGTTGGTTCGACCACTTGCAGGAGATCCTCAAATCGTTCTCTTCTCAACTCAACCAACTTTTACTTTTGTTTTCACATGGTTTTGTCTGTATGTGTCAAATTTAACTTCTGAGCCAGAGTAAGCACACCAGGCATTATTCTGGATGCAACCCACAGACCGTCTTACGGAATGTATCAAGTGGTCAACCTCAGTCGTAAACATCAGCACAGCATCAGCATAGCGAAGGAGAGACCTGTGAAACATAACATCGTGATGACGTTAAGTTCTTCATGGTGTGCAACTCCAATTCCAATGGCCAAAAGTAAGTATTACCAAATTTATCATTCATCCTTCTTGCTCGAACACATCTCATCAAGCAAATGAAGTATAACCTGGCTAAACCGTCTAGAAGAAGGCAGTCTCGGGACGCTATATGCTGAAGCTGACGAAACAGTACTGAAAACTGAGTTGAGATGAGTATAATTTTTAGGGAAAAATCATTTCGTAGATATTGACTATTCGGAAGCGGGAGACGATGCTCGAACTATGAGACAACCGCTTACAGCCTGGTGCAGCGATTTCAATAGGAAATATTAGCAGCAAACTAAATCATTACATTTAGCGGTAAAATACTAGATGAACAACTTTAACCTGTTCCACGTAACTGTACAACGCATATTCGGTACATTCAGGTTGGAGAGTTTCAAAGTCACGAATTTTCAGGTGGCGTCATAGACCTCGAAGCACTCGAGAGAAAAGCTTAGACATAGCTCTGAAAGATAGGTCAGTCGAACAGACGTTCTTAGGGAAGACGTTTCCGGTGGCAATTGATGCACAGCCTCTGCGGAACTGTGCGCTGTGACTATTCAGATTCAGCGAGTAGCTGAGAAACCCAAAAAGATAGGATGAGTAGCCAAGTAGTAACTACATGTAACTTGTGATTTGGTCCCCTTCCCTTCCTTACCTTTGCTTTTGTTATATATGCTTAAGCCCTGCTGTAACACCCTGAATTATACAGAAATCTCTTGCCGTAATTTCGATATGTTTAATCAAGTTATTCTCTGGATCTTCTCCTTAATAGATTGTTGATCTGTCCAGGCGGTTGCCCGACGAATTGAAAATTTCCAAATACCAGCAATGCCACCATCATTGTTCAAAACATGCATTACCCGAAATAACGTAAGCTTACGTGACCTCTCTTGTTCTGTTTCAGAAAGCTTTATCATACGATGAAAAAGGTTGTACTGAAATCCGTGAAAGTTCTACGGCTCTTCGTATACAACAAGGAGTAGGCTCCAAGTATTCACTGTGTTCACACGAGCTCGTTGGAGTTTTATTGGACATTGGACATCTAAAGGCGCTATTTTGGTATTGTTATTTGCGTTTTCGTGCTGGTTTCACAAATCAGATATGGATCTAGCTAGAAATTACAAAACTTTTTCAGCAATAATCATCATTTTGTATTTTTGTAGCTATGTAACTGCCTGCAAACCAGATGAAAAAAAACATTCAGCTATGATAGCAGGGTTAAAGAGTAATTAGCACTTACAATTAACTTTGGTTTTCAACACAGAAAATGGGTTTCTGAAGACAGCAGCAGCTGAAAGATCTATGCAAGGTGTGGATCGTAGTTGTTTCGTAGATGATGAGCCATACGAAAATCGGTCACAAATAGTTGAAGTCGGTCGCCATCCTCCCGTTAAAGTTATGTTCCCTGCTCCTTATGTGGTGAGTTCAATAGGTTTTTAGACGGAAGTCGTTTAGTCTTTAAATCTATTATTGTGTATTAATGGTTATTGGGGGGTCATTCACAAAATCCATCTTTTTTGATTGATCGGCATTTTTATTTAGTCCTACCACATTTTAGGAGGCTAAGAGTTTTATTTCCACTGTAGCATTTGTTAAATTGTTTAAACTGCTGTCCTGTGCTTAAATTTCAGGTTCTCACTATGCTTTGATATATTTGCAAGTAGTCAACATCTTTGGTCTTTTTAGCTGACAATAAATAATTTCAAATAAACTAGTAAATAAGTGAAATTTTGTCTAGCTTGTTATTCTAGCACCTGTAATTTCAAAGTGATTGAGTCATTCCTCATGCTTATTTGAAATGAAATGCTATACACTCAATTACATAGAGATATATTTCTCTGCGTAAATAGTCCAAAGTTAATTTCTAGTCGTAAATCATCCCCAGACACTAGTACTAAATTAATAGCAGATTCAGATGATAAGGATAGAAGGCTCTTTTTGCCCATGTTAATCATCGCGATATGTATCTCTGTAGAGATCCAGTTTCTCTTTGAAAGCGTCCACCGATGGAGCCGTTACTACTGAATCAGGTAAGCACTTCCAGTCGTTGACCACTCTGTGAGAGAATCCAAACCCCAAACATATTTTATTCGACCTCGGTTTGAGCACCTTCTTCTGGTGACCCCCTAAATGTGTCCTAGAGGGAGAGAAAAGGTTACAGAGGTCAATCCATAAGTCACCATTAATTACACGGTAAGACCAAAATTAAGTCGCCTCTCCTCCTTCGGTAAGATAATGGGAAGAGATTTAAATGCTCCATCCTCACGTCATAAGGAAGGTGTGAGATACCACTAACTAATTTCGTTCCTACCCTCTGTACTCTTTCCAGGGTATGTGCCTCCTTTTTGGAACATGAACCCGCCACTTGTGTGCAGTACTCTAGATGAGGCCTGACATATGTTGCATAGAGTACTTGGAACATACCCTCTTCTAATCGTTTGAAAGCCCTTCGAAGTGTCCATAGCATTCGAAAAGCCCTAGCTGCGGCTCGATTACAGTTTACCGTTGTTTTTAAGTCATGGCTAACAATAATTCCTAAGTCATTCTGTTCCCTAACATCTGGCAGTTCTATGTCCCTCATAGAGTACGATGTGTAAGACTTCTGACCGCGGTTTTCTTGGAATTAATTTCCAGAATCCAAAGGTTAGCCCATTTGGCTAGTTTATCTAGATCGTTTTATAGTACCAACCTATCGTCGCTACTATTTACGGTTTTTCATATCTTAATATTGTCCGCAAATAGTAAAGAAGATGAGGTAAGAATTTTCGGCACTTCATTTACGTATAATAGGAATAGCAGGGTACCACTTAGTAATGCTTTCCACCCTGACAGTACACCATTAACCCTTACTTTCTGCCTCCTATCCATCAGGTAGTCACTGAACCATTCACACAAGCGTTGGTCTAATCCAAAATGTTTAAGTTTACTAAGAAGACCTAAATGGGATACCTTATCGAATGCTTTACTAAGACCGACAAATAAAACGTCTAGTGGATGGTTTTTATCCCTGACCTCGACCCAATCTTCCCTAGCTAACAGTAAGTTTGTCAAGCAGGATCGTCCTCTTCCATTGCCAGTAAGCCATGTTTTTCCATATGAGCTAAGAGCTGGTCCCTTATGAGTTTTTCTAACACCTTTGCTATAATGCACGTCAGACTTACAGGCGTGTAGTTAGATACTAACTGGCTGTTCCCATCTTTGAAGATGGGGCTTATAAAAACATCTTTCCAGTTTCTGGGCAGCCTAGCCTGGGACAGAGACATTTGGAGAATCTCCGTAAGTGGAATGTTTATTATATCCGCCAAAGAGATTAGCAATCTAGGGTGAAGTCCGTCTGGTCCAGGTGATTTACCTGGCTTCAACTTAGACAGTAGTTTCAGAACCGCTGCATCATCTACCACAAACAACACCACATACAGTCTCATTCATAGGTCTCATTTTTCATGCTAACCGAACTGTAACTCGCACTTTTTCATTAAAAGCATAGGAATTCATAAAAACTGACCATTAGTTCCTATTGTGTTTAATAATTGGATGTCTGCAAACTAGCTCTTCATGTCATCTGATTTTGTTTTGACAGAATAAACATTTTAGGCCTACAAGTTAGAAAAACGGTTTTCCTGTAAAAACAAGTGATGTGATGGTAAACCTAGGCAGAGAGTATTAGGCATCATCCCTCTTTTAACTACATATGTTATATTGACTGTATAATAATCAGTTAGATTCAAGTAAGATCTATATAAACTACTACAGATTGGTACTTCTATGTGAGGGAATTTCTGTCTTCTAATCCTTACTCAGTTGTTTTCACAATCACTGAACCATATTGGGCATTCAGAGTATAAAATGATACCAGCACAAACGTATAATGGTAAACAGTAGGTTCTACCCAAATAACCTATGCACACTAATGACACTTGGTTATGACCACACTTTATAATCATTAAATTTCTGTTCACTGGTCTGACTTCTTCATTTCTATTAATCGTGAATGATAATGACTTCCTGACCTGTATAAATGTCCAGATGTTTGTTTCTATAATGCATCTAATTTATTGAATATTCAGTCCTTCGAGATAGATACTTTTGTGAAATGTAGGTATACGGAAATGTCAATATGAGCCAACTTACTTGTATTCATATGGATTTTGTAAATTTAGAATGGGGAAACCTGAGATCTGAGGAATGTTTAAATGACTTCTAGTCTTCTAAATTTACACCCGACAATTAGAGACAATGTTTATCATTCGCTGTTTTGCATACTACCTATTTCTTGAAACTACAGTACAATTAGATGAATGTCTAAGAATCTCAAAATTCTCTGTTCTTCATGTGTAGTCATTGTATGTACATAAGCAATGTTGCTAACTGTGAAATATAATCTTAGTGCTGAATAACAATGATAGTTTTTACTCGAACGGTTACAAAGCGAGTAGTGCGGTTATCAATCCAGCACTGAACCACGTAGATAAATTCAAATTCTGTAAGAATGTATTTTGTATCCCTGACATAATAGTTATAAGAACTAAAATGTAGATAATATAGCTGCTAGACTGAAGGGATTTATACAGTTTTTAATATCCAACATTAAAACATGATTGATAGGGAGTGAGTTTTCTGAAACTTGTACAAACTTAGCACAATTCTTGCATGGTGTAAAGTAGCTGCTACTGAAGTGCTGGTAATAGGCCTCACTCTTGCTTAACCTCATTTTTGTAAATAATGACGACCAAAATGGCGGTGTCATAGCTCTTTTTTGTTCTTTCGCACCATCATGGAGATTAATTTTTTTGTGAAGCTAAATTTTGACAACTGGAAAATAACTATCATTTAATTTTCAATAATTCAGCACGCACTGATTCTGGATGCACTAAGCGCTGGTATCGGGGAGCGTTCACATGCTTTAGTTGTCGAGCTAGGCATCGGATACATGACGGCTTGTACAGCGCTCATGGTAAGTCAGCTGAACTAAAGTGTTGTATTTCGGTTTTTAGTATATTGCATTTTCAGTTCGGGAAATCGTCTCAAGCCCCTGGTCGTATCCCAAATCTAGTACTGCTAATAGCACTATTCACTACTAAATATTTTCATTCACACTCCTCCGAAGCATTAAGCATCCAACATCATAGGCTGACAAGTTAGCTGGATGAAATTTTCACTGCTAACAGTCAAACGAATAGGTTTCTTTTAGTTATTTTAATGCGATCTCTTAGAAATGCCTGACCTAACTGAAAAAGATTGCCATACGATCAATGGACGAATTAGTAATCAGAGTTCGGTGTGCGAAACTACATCGGCTGATGACGTTGAGACATGTGCTGCTACTGATGAATACTAATTACTTGCTATGTAACACGTTTTAATGGCAGTCAAGGTTTTGCCACAGCTTTGGTCACAGGTTTACTTATTCATCTTGTATTTTCAGCGAGACACACTATGTAACTTGTTGGATGGGTCTCGTCTATCATTTACATGAAAGGTTTATTTCATTTAAAAGTTTTAACAGATAACTAATGCACTAATGGTATGAATTAAACGAGAAAGTGTATTTTTAAGACTCTGATTATTTGGGTGGCTATATTGGTGGATAAATACATATCTTCACAGTCCGTGTTATACGCAAATGACTTTTGATTTAAGTGAACTAGGTTAGTAATTTTGCTTCCTTTCAATTGTTTCCATGTCAATATCACTACGCTAGAACTGTATACGATAGGCTATTCAACGTTGGTTGGGATTTCGAAGTGAATCAGGGAGATTTTCCTTCATCTAAGAAAAGGGAAGTCACATAATTATTAAGAGAAGTGAAGTGAATGAATGGAAAGGCGGAAAATAAAGTGCAATTTGTCTTTCCATAACGCGAATTCAGAGGTGACAGTATCATTAAATTTACAGTCGAACGTTCGATAATAACTCATCTAAAAACATTCAGCCCTATACAAACTGCCAGTCTTAAGTGCAAAATACAAAATCCTACTCACACGGTAGCTATTGAGCACAGAATAAGTGTGACAAATACAGAGGCGTTAAGATTCTTAAAACCGCAATGAACACGAAAAAGTATATATCAATGATTAACTGTGAACGGAACTCATAGTAAGGTAAAGTTTATGTCTTCAACATCATAAAGGAATAAATTCGAAATGGCGAACTAGATTTTCCTGCCAATAAACGTGTTTGATCAGGCGCTAACTTTTTTACTCTAAAAAAACTTCACAACTGAGTACTGAGTGTGATAGATTCTATCTAACAACCGTATTCTCCATAGTCAGGAGGATTTCGATTCTGACTATTCTAACTATGCATTATTGAAAGTTATTATGAGACGAGAGTGTGTACACAGAACAATAAATCTAAGTCGCATAAATACCTGAAGTATATGATATGTAAAAATGAAGTTTTATTTGTATCTTTAGTACACAAACATAAATTTCCACACTGACGACCATTACAATGATGCTGATTACTGAGTATATTTCAAACTAGTCTACTGTTTTATACTATTTTTGTTTTATTCTATTAAAGACAGGTAGACAAGGTGTCACTGTATCCGCTCAACCTAATAGTGACTTATTTTCATGGGTTTCATCGCATATCAAAAGCTGGTTAGACAACAGTAGAGCTTATACACATGGCTTATCATTGGGGAATCAAATTAAATTAACAACCTATGATAATAAAATCCCAGAGCTTTTAACTGCGAAATATGATGCTATCTTTGTTCGTGCAGTGCGTGAAAGTGATGTGAGCAGGGTAAGTACGTGTACATTATTACACATTCAAACTTTACAAATCCTAACCATATATATTGGTAGTTCTGTCTAGTGTCCTGATGCGAACTAATGCTGAAGAAAAAAGATTATGTTTCATATGTTACATAGCTTAAATTGGCACCATTATTTAATCTGCTGGCTTCTCATCAGCTGCGTTCAACCTAAGGGGACTATTAAATTCATATGCAAAACAATCCTAACACTGCTTCGGAATTAAACTCACATAGCCTATACCCAGAAAGTTTAAGTTTAAAGAACAACAAAATTTAATAAATGTTTGGATCCAATAAAAAAATAGTTAAGTCATAAATATTATTATAATTATTGTATCCTTTAATTCCTAGAGGAATATAGGGCTTCAGCCGTGCGTCTTTATTGAGTTCGGTTCTCTGCTAGAATCTTCACCTGGCTCCAAGTCTGCCCACACCTTTTCATCTCCTCTTCACATGCCCTCCTCCAAGTCACCCTCGCACTGACGACCAACTCGCCGCCACTTCCCTTTCGAGTTCTACTCGAGCAATGGCTTGTCTAGTAATGTCACCTGATGGTTTTCTCAGAGTATGGCCAATACCTGTTGCTGATCTTTTCTAGCCATCTGATCTTGAATAGTATTAAGCGAAGACAACTGGCTATTAATGAAGGTCTGTAGTTTGTTTGAGATGCTCTTCATGACGTGCTGGCTAAGTCTCTGATCCGTATAGTGAGTAGCACTGACTGACTTCACATTGGAGTTGAAAATCCGGATCTTATTTTGGATGCTGAGTAGTGCTGTTGACCTCCCCACAGACTTGAGAGTGGTGAAAGCTTGTCTTGCTTTTCAGTTCGATTCTTGCTTTGATATTCTCGTCAGTTCCGCCGGCCTGTAGTTGAAACGATGCTTCCCAGGTAGGTAAAGGAGGTTTTTTCTTTCAGGTTCCTTCCAATTATGCTGATCGTCGTCTGTTGTTGTTGTTGTTGCTGTTGGTGGTGTCACCCAGGAATCTTCATCACCTTTGTTTTCTCTATGTTCATCTGAAGTGTTGTCCTATCTTTGATGCTTCTTCTGCCAACTTGTTGCTTTTCGCTCGCATATCTTCCAGTGTGTGGCAAATCAGAGATATATCACAGGCTAAGTCCAGATCCTCCAAGTTGTTTTTTGTGTGAGTCCATTTTATGCCTGTTTCCTCATTGCCCGCCACTGTTTGTCGCATTATCCAGTCTACTGCAATCAGGAAAATCATTGGCGATAGTAGGCAGCCAGCTTGTCTTACTCCTGTCCTCACTTCTTTGAAGGATTCCGTAAGTTTCCCGTTGTGGATTACTTGGCATGCAGCATTGTCGTACAGCTATTGGATGAGATGTATAATTGTCGGTGGCACCCCTTGGTAGTAGCGAAGTAGTTGCCAAAGCTACTCTCGATCGACGCTATCAAAGGCCTTTTCAAAGTCGATGAAGTTGAGATAGAGAGGTGACTGCCATTACAGGCTTTGTTCAATGATGATCCGTAATGTGGTGATCTGATCAATGCATGACTAGTTTCTCCTGAATCCAGCCTGTTCCAGTCGAAGTTTTTTTATCCAGGATGATGCGGCTTAGTATTTTGCTTGGGATGGACAGGAGCATAATTCCGCGCCAGTTCTTGCATTGACTTAAGTCTCCTTTCTTTGGTAGTTTGAATAAGTATCCTTTCTTCCAATCCTCGGGTACTTTGCCTTCTTTCCACACCTTCTCCAGTAGTGGCGTCGTCAAGTCCTCTGTTGTCTCTGGGTCCGTTTTCAATGCTTCTGCTGGGATTCCATCTGGTCCTGCTGCTTTTCCAGCTTTTAGCATCTTGATTGCCTTCAGGACTTCTGGTTTCGTCGGGGGGTAGGTGTTCACTGGTAGCTCTGTCTTCATTGTTGGTATTGTTGGGCGCGTTGTCGGTGGTGGTCGATTTAGGAGTCTTTTGAAGTGTTCAGCCCAGTGTTTCCGTTGCTCCACTTCTTTGGTGAGTGACTTTCCATTGTCATCCTTCACCGGCTTAATTTGTGTCAAACCTTTGCCCGATAGGTACCTAGTTGCTTGGTAGAGTGTTGCGAGGTCTCCTTTGCCTGCAGCTTGTTCTGCTTCACTTGCCATGGTTTCATAATACTTTCTTTTGTCTTCTCTGGCACTCTTCTTTACTCTTTTGTTCAGTGTCTTGTAGTTTGCATTCAAATCCTGTTTTTGTTGCTCATCGGTGCACTGGATAATCTTTTGTTTCACCATCCTTCTCTCTTCTGTCAGTCTCTAAGTGTCCGTAGTGAGCCACTGTTTGTCCTGTCTCTTCTTTCTGCCTAGAACTTCCATGCAGGTTTGACTCCACACTGTCTTCAAGTTGTTCCAGTGCTTTTCGACGCTGACCTCTTCGCCAGTGTCGATTTGTGTCTCGGCTTTGCCCTTTATGCTTGCAGTGAAGATGTCCTTTGTGTCCTGGTCCTTCAGTTTTTGAGTGTTGAATTTGGCTTGTGGTCTATCTGCAGCTCCTGATTCTCTGAAAGCTTTAATTTGATTTGGATTGTCCCTTGTACGAGATGGTGGTCTGAGCCAACGTCTGCTCCTCTTCTTACTTTTGTGTCCAGCAGGCTGCGCTTCCACTTCCTTGAGACTGAGATGAAGTCAATCTGGTTTTTGGTTCGCCCATCTGGTGACACCCATGTAGCCTTGTGGATATCCTTGTGTTTGTATACGCTGCCACCAATCACTAGTTCATTGAAGGCGCAGAAGTTGGCGAAGAGTTCTCCATTTTCATTCATTTCTCCGAGAGCTCCTCTACCCATGATGAGTTCCCTTCCTGTGTTGTCTGGTCCCAGTACTTTAATGTCACCAACTGGAGTATTGTTCATTGTTGCCTGTAGTTGTCTGTAAAACTCTTCTTTCTTCTCGAGATCTGCGTTGTTTGTGGGTGCATAGTATTGCATAATTGACACTTTCCTTCCTTTGGAGTTGAATCTGGCGGTCAGTATCCTGGGGCCTTCGTTGCCGTTGGTGACATCATGATAACCACGCCCTCGGTGTGCATGTGGTTATCCTCTGGGTGACCGGAGTAGATAACTGACTCACCAGTTGACAATTTGGTGAGTCCATTCCCGTTCCATCTGCTTTCACATATTCCCAGTACTTGAATTCTGTATCTTTTCATTTCGTTTGCGATCTGGGCAGCTTTGCCGATCTCGTACATGGTGCGGACATTCTATGTCCCCACACAGACTTTTTCTTTTGCCTCAAGGAGATACATCGTGCTGAAGTTTCTGTAGCAGGTTTGTTTACAGGGTGGGGTTGCTAGCCTCACGCCTGAGAAGGAGGGTTGTTACATTAACTTATAGTTTAGAGAGAAGCGACCTTGTAGATTACTCCCCTTAAAGCCAGGAAAACAAGGAATAAAACAATCAGAACAACACCAGCACAGGAAAATAATTCACAACAAGAAGGGTAACAAGCGACAACAACAATAATAATATCACAGTCAAGTACAGTTAACCAAAATGATACCAAAATCATAGACTCACTGACATGAGCCAACTTGAACATGTAAATCCATCAATATATACAATTATAGATATTAGTAAGCGTTAAACAAGCACAGACTGGCAAATAGATAGTTATAGGTATTGTCTATCAACAGTATTATATCCAAAGATTCAGTGTTTCAAAGGCAAACAATTGCACTAGTTTTTTGCAACTTTTTGGCAAGATATTCCACAAAAATAAGAGTGCAACGTATTAATCAAAAAGCGCGTCAATGTCAATTCATTTTGCACATTAATATAATTTATGTCTGATGACAATATACAGTCATTATTTTAAGAGAAAGGTAATCAGTGTGAACTGACTAGAGTGAATAAAGCACATAGTGAGTATTCAGCGTTAGACTGGAGTCAAATTTTACTAATATTTAGTACATCGTTAGGCGCTATAACCTGCAGGAAACTTGGTTTCAATTCTATCCATTCCTGTTTATTGCATTGATACATATCACATGACGGTTGAAATTCTCAGATTCCGTCGAAGAGTTTAAACTTCGGCTCATACGAATTAAAACAACCAAAACTACTTATTCACGATGCAATTACACCCCAATTTAAAGAAGTAATTATTCATTACCGAAGCAGTCATCATGATTAATGAACATTGATCAATATTTGTATCTGCTGGAGCCTACAATATTCCACTTTCAAACAGTAACCGTCGGAACGCAATTGATATGGTCACTCAGAAGAGGTTTCCTCCATTTTGAAGCAATTACATCATGTATTCAATGATACAGTGGAATCCGTTTACATGAATTATCTAGAAATGAGAAACAAGTTAGCTGAGTGCACTGGAGAACAGGTGTCAGCTGCCAATATTACTGTATTGCGTGAGACTAGCGATCCATCAACTCAGTCCCTATTTCCTTGTCACAAGGATGTTTGTTCGATTGCTCATCCTCCTGTTTTCTTTGACTTCTTCTAAAAATAAGGGCGAAAATGTCTCTATTTTTAGTAAGTAGTTCACAATTATCCCTCCGTGCATGTGCCTCTCACACGATTTGCCAGTCATATTTCCGTTCTCATCATCACATCTGTTATGTGTGCACTCAGCTAACTCGTTTCTCATTTCTAAACATTTCATGTAAACGGATTCCAAAGCTTTACCTCCACTGTATCGTTGAATATATGATGTAATTACTTCAAAACGGAGGAAACTTCTTCTGAGTGATCGTATCACTTATGTTAAGACGGTTACTGTTTGAAAGTGGAATATTGTAGGTTTTAGTAGATAAAGATATTGTTAAATGGCCACTGAAGATAACTTCGTCGAATAGGAAATAACTTTTTGTCTAAAGTTTGGTTTGTAAGAGTTTGTTATGTTTTTACGAGTTGATCACGGACTGATATCAGTTAGAGAACTATTGAAAACCAGGGAGTACTGGACAGCTGCTGTTTCATCCTAGTTTGGGAAACATCGGCAGTACGCACCCACTGGGATTCGAACCCAGTGGAACAAACCCTTACAAATGAAACTTTAGAAAATTAATCTGATGCTCGCTAGTGACTTGCTACAGGGTGGAGTTTCCTGGAGTTCTAGTGAGAAGTCGTGACCGATGAGGTCCAATTAGATGTCACGTGTGTGAATGGATGTCCCAACAACGACAATGGTTGGAGTCGCGCTAAATCACGAATTGGTAGAAGTTAGAATTCATGAGCCATTGAATCGGGTCCAAGTGGCTGAATGGTATACGAGCTTACCTTGTAACCGGTAGGTCCTGGGTTCGAATCCCAGTGGGTGCGTACTGCCGATGTTTCCCAAACTAGGATGAAACAGCAGCTGTCCAGTACTCCCTGGTTTTCAATGGTTCTCTAACTGATATCAGTCCGTGATCAACTCGTAAAAATAACGTTTTGTCTTCCCCGTGTTATAACTTTATGCAATATCTAATCTATGTCTCCGCGTGGCTTGCATTCTTAACTATTGTCAGTTACTACAGATTTCCATATAACCAAATTATTATGATTTTTATCCTATGCTTCTTTTATTATACCTGACTCAGTGGCTACCGCGTCTCAAAACAGGAGGTATCATGGTTTGCTTGGTAGGATATAATGGAGGGAAACAGGAATTGTATCAATTGCGCCGGTTGTCCGAAACTTCCGTACAAAAGAAGACTTTGATGAACTTCCAAGATTTCAAACCAACAGTTGCTCCATCAAAAGAAGAATCTGTTGTACAACCGATGTAAGTTGTTTGCTTGTGCTCAATCGTATGCTTCATTTCCACACATCAAGGCGACTAGAATATTTTTTTCTTGTTAAACGATTAGGTTGTTTAAACTTTGATTCATTAGAAAAAAGAAGAGTGAAAATAATGATTCATGCACATAAGCATGTTTAACTGAAATGCAGAAGATGTGACTTTATGTCAGTAACAATTAGTTGTCTGATATGCGTAGGGTAAACGGATAAACGGTTTACTATAACAAAGGAATGAAGGAAACCACATCATTTCATCGTAACGTAAAATCAATTACATCTTTTGATGCATCTGGAAAAGGTTTATAACTCACAGATTATATCCAGAAATGTGATGAATGTGAGCAAACATTTTTAATCGAACAGTTTTATTACACACATTATACATTTGGCCGTCTCCACCTATTATTATATCATATTATTGCTTCCTTCAATTCCTACAGGAACATAGGGCTTCAGCCGTGCATCTTTATTGCCTTCGGTTCTCTGCTAGAATCTTCACCTGGCTTCAAGTCTGCCCACACACGTTTTCATCTCCTCTTCACATGACCTCCTCCAATTCGCCCTCGCACTGATGAACAACTCGCCGCTTCCCTTTCGGTTTCCACTCAAGCAGTGGCTTGTCTAGTGATGTCACTCACTTGATGGTTTGTTTCCTCAGAGTATAGCCAGCCAATCCATCTCCATTTCTTCCTGCCTATTTGTTTCACAATCGGTTCCTGCTGTGTTGGTTCGCTCCCAGAGATCTCTGTTGCTGATCTTTTCTGGCCATCTGATCTTGAGTATTGAGAGAAGACAGCTAGCTGTTGATGAAGGTCTGTAGTTTGTTTGAGATGCTGTTTATGACGCGCTGGCTAAGTCTCTGATCCGTATAGTGAGTAGCACTGACTGACTTCACACTGGAGTTGAAAATCCGGATCATATTTTGGATGCTGAGTAGTGCTGTTGACCTCCCCACAGACTTGACAGTAGTGAAAGCTTGTCTTGCTTTTCCGATTCTTGCTTTGATATCCTCGTCAGTTCCTTTTGCCTGTAGTTGAAGCGATGCTCTCATGTAGGTAGGTAAAAGAGGTTGTTTCTTTCAGGTTCCTTCCATTTATGCTGACTGTTGTCTGTTGTTGTTATTGTTGCTGTTGGTGGTGTTGCCCAGGAATCTTCATCACCACATCTGTTTTCTCTATGTTCACCTGAAGTCCTTCCTATCTTTGATGCTTCTTCTGCCAACTTGTTGCTTTTCGCTTGCATATCTTCCAGTTTGTGGGAAATCAGACATTTATCATCGGCGAAGTCCAGATTCTCCAAGTCTTTTGTGTGAGTCCATTTTACGCCTGTTTCCTCATTGCCCGCCACTGTTTGTCACATTATCCAGTCTACTGCAATCAGGAAAATCATTGTCGATATTAGGCAGCCAGCTTGTCTTAATCCCGTCTTCACTTCGAAGGATTCCGTAAGTTTCCGTAGTGGATTACTTGGCATGCAGCATTGTCGTACAGCTGTTGGATGAGATGTATGTTTGTCGGTGTCTCCACTTATACGAAAAGGGAAAGTAAATGGAAGGTATTTCGCCTACAACAAAAGCTGCTGAGATGTACTACTAATGATAGCCAAACAAAAATGTTCAGAATAGCATCGTACAGGCAGTTACGTTACTTTGACCAACTTTATATTCCTGCGGACAACTAACCATTTGTCTTACACGTTTCGAAAAAGAAACTGTTTCCTTGATAAAATAAACAAACCAAAACTGAGCATCTTTCACTATTCTTTCCATTCAGTTTAGCAATGAAATTCATTTTAGAATTGAGCATAACACGTCAATCTCACTTATCGTTGTTCTTACTCTTTTTTGTTTACAGCCCACCCGAGTAAGATATTTTTCCACATGAAATTATGTGCTTTCTTTTTCACTTCAATTAACCTTATTATATATGTTCCTAGTTAGACAACAACTAGGTTGCTTAAACATTCCTTCATCAAGTCAGGGATTGAACAGTGTGGTTAGTGCAGGTATTTGTGCTTATCTGAAATGTAGAAAATGTGATTTTATGCGAGTTAGTATAACCTGTATTCGACAAAAGCGAAAGAGATGGGAAGGGTATCAGGGATAGGTAACACAAGAACAACTATTTAAGATTGCTGTGGAAGCAGGTTGTAAAAGACTAATGATTAGTGAAGCAATCCACGATAAAAGCTACGCCTTAGTTAGTTAGCTTTTGCCAATTTACGTCATTTCTGCAGCCTATGTATTGCGCAACAGTTTGCTCCGTCCTTCTTCACGACTGCAAGATATGGTCTTTGAAAAAGAAGGATATGAAAAGGCTAGTGGCCTTTGACCATAGATGCTTGCCTTCTATCACCAGTGTTAAGTGGTAAAATGTGGTGAATAATGCTGAGGTTAGGTGTAAAGTGAAGTTGAGTAGCTGCATCGATTGAGATGCCTAGAACAAGTGCTGCGCATACGCAGAAACTCACTTTCTTATCGAGTAATATCAGATGGCGCTTGTTTGAGAAAGAGTTAGGAATAATCAAACTGAAACCTAGCTGCAATCCATGAATTCTTCAACAATTCACTTAATACAACCGGGATGCTGAAGACTCACTGCTTGGAGTCCTTTAGATGCTAAGAACAAATAACAGGAGGCTGTTAGTGATACTGCTCAAAATCAATCAATCCTGCTGACGTGTGTGCATTCCCTTCTTTGCGAACATCCATACCAATACACAATCATCTATTTCAAAGTTACCATACATCTTCCTGCATATTCACGTACATTTTACAAACTTTGAATTCTTCTCATCTCGTTTTCTTCTTCACGTTAGTGTGCTAAATGTTGTTAAGAAAAATGAAATTGTTTTATACTGTGCTATGTTATTCTATGTCTAAGTGTAATCAGTCAATCATTATCCTCGAGGACCACAGAAATGATCTAAAATGAATTTATACACCTCCACATAGCAAACTAATTAACTCTCATAGTTTACAAAATTCGAATCATTCTAACTGACAGAACTTTCTGGTAAAATCCAATTCACCAATGCCTGAATAGCATACAAACTAAACCATAAAATGGAGACGAAAGAAGTCAGAATTTCATATTACTCAGGATTTGTTCCTGTTGTGCATTTGAAATAAGTGTAGAAACAAAGAACAACAGTATGGACATTTACACACACTACGACAATAGAAAATGTCAGTCATCACAGTTATCTCTTAAATATCTGATCAGTTTTTTACAGAATTCCTGTTGATTCCCTAATTTTCATGCAACTGATCTTCATAACTTTGTCAGTAATTATTCCAACGGAAAACTCAGCGAGGCGTTTGGAGTAAACACAGGAGTCAGACAAGGGTGCTTATTATCACCAATGATATTCCTAATTGTGGTGGACTGGATTATGCGTCAGACAGTGGGAAACGAGAAGACAGGGATATCCTGGACAACCGACGTGAAGAATCTAGAAGACCTGGATTTCGTGCGTGGATGATTTATGTTTGATGTCACACAAAATCGAAGACTTACAAGCGAAAACCGACAAACTGGTCGAAGAAGCAGCCAGAGAAGACAGGACTCCAGGTGAACATAGACAAGACGGAGGTTATGAAAATAACCAACAAACAACAACAACAGCAGCAACATCCAGCACGCCAATCACCATCAACGGGAGGGATTTGAAAGAGGTTACTTCATTCACTTATCTAAAGAGCATTGTCTCAACTATAGGAGGAACGGACGAGGATGTCAAATCGAGAATCGCGAAGGCGAGAAACACATTCATCAACCTGAAACCAATCTGGAAATCTTCCGCTGTCACTCAGCATCAACAACAAAATTCGGATTTTCAATACAAACGTCAAGTCAGTCAGTTCTTCTATACGCATTGATCAGAAACTTGGCGAGTGACAAAGAATATTTCCAACAGCCTGTTGCAGACCTTTATCAACAACTGTCTTCGTTCTATACTACTGAAGATCATATGGCCGGAAAGAACAAGAACCAACAAGAAACTATGGGAACAAACAAAAAAAGAACCAATCGCATAACAAATATGCAGGAGAAAGTGAAGATGGATTGGACACTCGCTGAAGGGGCCACTGGGTGACATCGCGCGTCAGGCCAGTGCTCGAGTGGAACCCGAAAGGTAAGCGGCGAGTGGGACGTCCAAGGGTGACATGGAGGAGATCGTGTGAAAAGGAGCTGAAACAGTATGGACTAACATGGATGCAGGTGAAAAGTACAGCAGAAGACAGAAGCAAGTGGAGACGTGTAGTTGAAGCCCTATGTTCCACTAGGAACCCAAGGGAACAATAATAATGATAAAATTCCTTATTCAACTCAACTTAAAGGCAGCCAATTACGTGACCGCCGGATGAAAAGTGTTAGGTAGTGGAGGAGGATGATTAGTTTGAATGTAAATAGACTTCTGATCCTTATAGACTGTAATGGTTATTTTGATTGAATTGATTTGGAAATATCTGTCTCCCAATGCAAGTAAACCAAGACTTGTAATGTGTTTACACTTGTTTTTCTTTGGTTTTGAGGATGTGATTGATTCATTTTCAATCAACAGTATGACGTCAGTCTCACTTATCCCTTTTATTGTTTCTATGTGTTTTTGTTTACAGGCAACCTACGTATGAATTCTGTCCTTACTCATTGAATAATTCTTTTTCCATTTGATATCACCTTAGTATATATATTTCCTTGTTATATCTTTTTCTATTGAACAAATCCAGGATTGAACATCATTATCCGTGCACGCATCTATCCCTAGTGGAAATTTGCAAGATGTGAATTTACACAATAACTGAATTCCCTATTGTTTTGTTTATTAGATATATCACACAGTGAAACAGTATTACTTACTTGAGGGAGTTTCGAACACAATTTATTGTCCACAATCATATCAGTATCATAATTGATATGATTATGAACAATACACTGTTTCCGAAACATCCTTAAGTAAATAATACAGTTTCACCATATGATATATCGAATAAACAAACCATTATGGAATAAAAAACGATTGTTTGTCGAGTGTGTGTAGGACAGACAGATAAACAGTACAATATAATCAACGAATGCTGAAATTACACAATATTGTCACAAAACAGAACTGAATGTCGTCCCGACTACTATTTTAAATTTCATTTTTACAATTAAATTTAATTTCAAGTATTGGTTTTGTAGGGATTTTGTTTGACTGAATTGAGGATTTCATCATGAACTGACATCAGTAAGCGAACCACTTGAAAACCTTGAAGTACTCACACCTATTAAGTCCTAGTTTGGGACCGTTCAGCAGTACGCACCCGCCGGAGTTCAAACCCAGGACCTTCTAGTTACAAGGCGAAGTGGTAGACCATTGAGCGCGACCATTTCGCAATGTCTTCTTCGATTGGCAGAATTTAGAATTCATGGGCTGGCCAATGGATTGGGTCCCAGTGGCTCAGTGGTCTACGAGCTCACCTTGTAACCAGAATGTCCTGGGTTCGAACCCCGGCGGGTGAGTACTCCAAGGTTTTCAAGTAGTTCTCTAACTGATGTCAGTTCATGATGAAGTCCTCGATCGGGTAGAATTTATTTTGAAATCAGCATATGATATTTGTCTCACTTATCTTTGTTGTTACTGTTATTTGTTTACAGCTTACCTGGGTAAGACCTTTTTCCACAGAGAATCGTATGATTTCTACTTTACATTGAAGCAGTTTAATATCTGTTCTTGCTTGAATAATTAGGTTGTTGTTTTAATATTCCTTTATAAAGTCAGCGATTTAACACCATCTTTAATGCATACATTATGCACACATATGTACTATATGAGAACAAAGTGTGAACTGTTAGATTTTGTCATAGAGGATACTCAATTAAAAATCACTGAAAAACTAAGGAGCACCAGAACTCTGTTTCCTTCTAGTTCAGCAGCTTTCAGCAGTAGAAAGGCATCCGCCATCAGTGAAAAAAATCTGTGGTCTTCAGCTAGTAAATACTCGCCTATCTATTATTTATTAATGAACATAGAACACAAGCTCAATGATATAATATAAGATGATGGTGTGGATTTGCACATACATGAAAGCGTATATATAAGATACATATTTCTGTTATTATTGTTATTTGGGATGGGAGATTTGAGGGTTGAACGTTCACACTACCTGGCTGCGGCTCCGTATGGCTTCATTACATACTAAGCAAGGAAAGACTAGGAAGCCTGTTTGATATATGCATTGTGTTTGTTTTGAGGATTCAGATTAACTTCAATGTGGATAGCGTGGTAGGTATGAACGACTGAACAGATGAGACCTACATTGAACCTGCTGTCCTGTGACCTAAGTGAATTTGGTTGGTGACAAATGTAGCAACTGAAATCAAACCAAATCAACCGAAATCTTGTAATCTAAAAGAAACTGTTGTGGAATTTGTGTGAGATAAGGAGAGAACTAACTGTAATATAATAAGGACTCAAAATACCAAAATAGTATTATTGAGATATTTGCTTTTAATTTCAATCCCCAGTAACCGAATATCACATAAACGAAACTATAAAATGGAGACGACAGAAGTCAGAATTCCAAGTTTCATCTGCATCATTTGTAATGCTCGTTGACATACATACACAAGTGTGTCAATGAAAATGTCAATCACCCCACAATTATCTTCAATCGCTGATTGGTTTGCTTGAATCGCCTGGATTTTGGCTTTCATGAAATCGATCGTGATGCTTCAATCAGTGATTCGTTCTTACCTCTACTCATTATGAATACCATGCAATCTGTAACCGATGATGAAAAATTTTAGTTGGCTTGTGATTCCTTTTGATCACAGAGTGTCTGTTGATAAAATAAAAATTCAGACGTCTAATACTTTCAC